GATCGGAAACTGGTAATTCATGCACAAGGAACTGCCGTATTCATAGGATACAGCCACTATTCTACTACGCACTTATGACGCTCAACGACTCCCATATCGAGGATGATTGTCCGCTTGTGTGTTAATTGCTTGATGGCCGTCGTGCGGGCCGTGACCTGCTGAATCTTAATCACATGTAGTGGAATTACACGTGATGATCGCTCGGCCATCTGGTACCCTAGCGCTGGCGTTAGACGACGCGTTGATCTGTGCGTTGCCCAAGTGGTGACTTGTTTTGGCTAATGTCTCTGATGAAGGAGCCGCAACGGATTTCGAATCGTGAGGTGAATAAAATTCCTGTCCCAGTGATTGCATCTACTTGTTTTCAATTACTTCCTGAGACTCACATGTTTGCTTGTATTGGAATCATATGAGCCCGCCAGCGGTCGACCACGGAGGACCTATACCTAAGCTTCGGAGAAAAAAGAACGCTAAGGGTCGTTCTTCGCTTACAATTTTAGCAAAAGACAGGCAGCGAGGCTGAAAAAAATAACCACCCTCTACGTATTAAAAATAGCCCAAATTAAATGGAACGAAACAAAGGCTGTAATACTGCTTCAAATTTAGGGCAAAAGTAGTTTATGTAGTCCCCCTCATATACCCCTAGGCCCAGCATTTTTTCCTACGAAAACGTTGGTTATATGGTTTTGGGCGGTGGGGAAATAGGATAGGGAGAGAAGGAAACTTTTAGAAGTAAATCTGAAGTGAAAAAATGTAGTCGGAGTAGTTTCCTGCGGCCGCTGGGAGTAAGTTATTCCGCATGTTAATTGAACGTGTAGGCGGCGTTTCGCGCCGCGGAATGTACTAATTTAACTCCAGAACTATAAGTTGGACCTCCGATAAGTTGAAGTAGACGATCTCCTAACCACTATTTATATTTTCCGGGAATATCAAGACACCTCCAATTTAATAATCAGGTTTTTCCACAATACGTTAAAAGATCATTTAGATTATAAAAATCTACAGATATAAATCAACAACACTTCTAAATACAATAAATAAAAATGCATATAGAAGTCATTAAAGTATATTCCACTGCGTATGCTAATTCGCCACCCATAAAACCCTATAACTACCGTTTTCGTAGGAGAACATGCTAGAAGAAGAGATTATTGAGGGGGAATACATAAGCTACTGTTGCCAAATTTAGTTTTCCGACTGATCAGCAACGTAAGAAATACCTCACTTTCAAACACGCTTGCTTGTAGTTCCTGCCATTAAGCGACCAGCGCATTCACTTACCCTTTTGAAAGGGGCAGCGTGCGATGGACACATTTTAGACGATGGAAAGGACAAACAGTTGGTCCTCGACTGGCACACCAAAAATAGAACTATGGACCTTCATCCCACCTACCAAGCGCTCCGCAGATGGCTAATATCGGCTCAGAACGGAGAAATAGGTCGGGCGGAAAGAGATAGGCAGGGCCAACAGCCGGCAGCCGCGAGCAAAGAGGGTGAAAACGCTCATGAGACACAAAAACAACTTGACACAGCTCATGAAGACGCCCGTGAGGGCGCGAGCAGTTCAAGCAGCCACAGAAATCGATCGGTGCAATCGATTGCCACATGGGCATTAAGCAAGCCTAATGGTCGGACACATTCGTCTGACGCGAACAGGAGTACAGACAACACGCTCTGAGGATGAAAGCGAGCACGCTTTTGAAAGGTCAGTCAAAATACACCTTGGTCCCAGAAATCGTCTCTTCTTCTTCTTCCTCTTCCGGGGATGATAAAAGGAATATTTTATCTGGACCTCAAATTTTTTCGCATACAAAAAGACTTCTTAGGCGCATTAAGTCCAGGCTATACCCACGAGCTAGATATCCGACGTATTTGCGTGTGGAGGCCCCATTAACTCGTGTAAACGCCCTGCAGCAATCTGAAAGACAAAAGTAGCGTAGTGCCTGATCGCATGAAATGCGAACGATCTAAACTAGCAGGACGACGAGCCCGATGCTTGATGGTTGGGGCCTTAGACTTCTGATCAAAAGGTTGCAGATTCGAGCCTCGGTTGGGGCACCACTTCGGGTTGGGTATGACTGGCTGATGACGGTTAATGAGCCAGAAATGAGCATTCCAATCTCTTGTCTTTGCTGGCAATGCAATCTACCTATACCGCTAGCCGCTGTGCAC